TATTAAAAAATTGTAAACATTGTTTTTTTAAATAACAACAATAATAATAATAATAATAATAATAATAATAATAATAATAATAATAAAAACTATATATAAATAAATTACTTTAATAATGACTTGTGTAATTTTATCCATTTACATGAATTACAAACTTATGAATAAGAATCGACTGCACTAACATTTATTTTCAATACACAATTATAAACAAATAAAAAAATATATACTACAAAGTTCAAATCCAAAATCATATTATTAAAGATAATTAAATGAGCTTGATAATTATAGTAATAAAATACATCAGTAGTCATCATTGTTTTTCCCTTTTTTTTTATAAATTTTTTCCTTATACGTACATTGTAATTTAATATAAAATCTTAGGTCATATCGTATCATACCGTTGGCTGCGAATATTTCATCAATGATAGCATGTTTGTTTCTCCTCCTTTTACTAAAAATTATATTCATCTAGTAAGATATATATTACAATAGAGAAAAGTAACTTATTGAAAAAGAAACAAATTGTTAAAAGGCCAATTATAAGGATAAATACTTAAAAAGGTATTAATATGTATTTCTAACATGATCGTGATTATACAACTGATCGTAATAAATATAACTTATAATAACGCCAATTAGTTTTGTTTCACCGTCCAAAATTACCATCCGAGAGAGGTGTTACTTTTTGTTGAATTATCTTACCGTAACCTCCTCTACCGCTATCAAAGTCAGATCTATATTCGTCTCTCACCTAAAATATAGCAAAGACACATAATAATCAGTTTAATAATTGAGCCACTCATCTGCCACATCAATTAACTCTTTAAAAAAAAAAAGTAAAAAAGCTTGATAATATTATATACAGAATGAGACACCTAACTTGATTATTTCAAATAACTTTAGAAGACTAAGTAAGAAATCTGAAAGTCTTATAATTAGGCATTAAAATTTGTAAAATTTCTAAGAATGGAGTTAATTAATTTGACTTGAAAATGGCTACATTCATATTACATTAATATATTAAGGGTACCCATAAGTAATGTCATTTTTTCCAAACTTTAAAAACATTACCATTTACCAACAATAATATACTTAATATATAGGTTATGTTATAATTATTTTCAATAAATGGTAATGTTTTTAAAGTTTAGAAAAAATGACATTACTTATGGGTATAGATAACAATATATATAGTAATAAACAAATGTTACTTGTCCTCCTGTCTTTCCACGTCCATATTGTCTGCCTTCTATAAATCCTGCGTCCCAGTCTGTTCTAATAATTCTGTCGTCAAGACGTGTGCCATTAATATATCTCATACAATTTTCTGCATCTGATCTTTGATAATATTCAACGAAGCAAAAACCACATGGAGTTTTCTTATATTTATCTAAGCCCATAATAATACGTCTGATATCTCCACATTTTGAAAATAATTCATAGATTTGTTCTTCTGTAGTATAAAAAGAGAGATTACCGACATATAAAGTAGTAGAATTTCTAAGAAGTCTATCTTGTTCTGCTCTGGATCCCTAAAATTTAATTAAATTTATCACTTAATGTATTGAAAAATGAATAAATAACATTATAGGAAGAAAAGTTAACCTTCAAAAACGTACCTTAAAATGTTGATCTCTGTAAGAACTTAATTCTATCGAAGATGAACTAGATGCGTTCAATTTTACTACGGCCATTATATTTATTATAAACTTTTTTTTATACTCACAGCAACAGATTTTTACAAACTCTACACATTCGCTAACTATTCGAATTTTCCATCAGAGAAATTTGATTACGAACTCAGAGAAACTTGTAGCGTTAACCACATATATAACAGAACATATTCTGAGGAAAACAAATACGCCACGAAATGTTTTGGTAAAATCAAAGAATATAGAATTACATAGAAGTTCATAAATCCACTTCTCGCGTAACCACATTCATTTGAGTTACTAACCTGACCACCAGTAAATGATAGTAGGTACTTAACTGTAGCGGATAAACTAGGAACGTAATTGAGATTTGTCCAAATCACTGATCAACATTACTATTTTTTACGTAACATTTATTTAAACAATATATAAACTAATGAAACTATGTACAAGGAGGACGATCGAGATATGCGTTTTAGTCGAATTTGTGTTGTTGAAAATAAGGAAATACCGAGTACGATAATTTTCTTGAAAAAATTAATTTCTCTTTGAAAAAAATGAAAGTAAAGTTGGTATACCTACAGGGGAAATATTTAAAGTTGATTTTTAAAGTAACAACCTATAGGGTAGTGAAAAGAAATAGGTTAATCGTTTATAATTTATAAACAATAGGTAAATATTTTGTAAATTATAATTTTTCTTTTAAATATATCCCCTGCAGATATACCAACTTTACTTTAATTTTTTTCAAAGTGCGCTTGCGCCTTGAATTTGTGGTTGCGCATGCGTATAACATATCTCCCACTCATGACGTCGCCATTTCATAATTATTCAAAGTGTAATATTTATTTTCAACTAACGATAAATAAAAAATAATTAATTAATAAAAGTTGAGGGGGGAGCCGGACAAACAAAAAGTCAGCAATTGATTGAAAACAAAAAACAATAGAAAACTTCATTGCTTTGCTTAGAAATGAGAAAAAACGTTTTTGTATTTTCAATTATTAATAACTAATTAAATAATTAATTAATAATGCGAGCAATTATATGTATTTTGATTGAGAAATTAGTGAACAATTAAGAGTACTTATTCATTGTTTTCTGCTGTTGAGGTTCTATGCCAACTTTTCTGTGGAAATGTACACAGTGTGACTACATTTTAAAATTATGAAACAAAAATCTACAACAGAGTACTAATATAAAAAATATTTCGAGTCAGCTGTTAACTTTGAATACAAGAAGTTTTCCGCCTTTACGAATTATTTTTTTCCGATATTTCTAATTAATTTATGTTTTGTATTATTAATTTCGATATATAATAACAAATAAAGATTATATAATTGTAATGAATTCATTTTCCATTTAAAAATGTTTAGGTAGGACCAATGAATTTTTTTAACTTACCTAGATTTAAATGATACATGCATACTAAAGTTTTAATTTTCAATCTACTTTTATGTTAGTATATTAATTAATTTACAATTTGTTATAAGGCATAATTATGAATTGTTCTTTTAAGGAACACAATTTCTTGTTTTTTATATATTATACTTATTCAAAATATCAGTTTTAACTGAATATTATGTTTGCTATCCACATTAACATACGGAAAAAACATTTTAATTGTACATGATTATATAAGTAATAGGAAAGATTAATTAATTCGATACAAATGAAAAGTTATTTAACCAAAGTAAAAATACAAAATAAATTCATTAATTTTTTTTTTTCATTTTATATATTATTTGTCATTAAGCTATCTGTGTTTTCATACGCAACAGAGACTTATTTTATTGTAACATATCAAATGTATTTTTCATCATGAAAAATTGTATTCGTATTCGTATGGAAGGTATTTAACAAAAAAGATCAATACAACAAAATGTGATTAAATTTGTGAAAGTAAAAATAAAGTAGATAACAGTAATTAATATTTAATTTTGAAATCTGTCCATTTTACATAATAATAAACAAACGTCATAGATCATATTATAGTACACAAATTTTCATTGCAGATAAAAAATCAGACTTTCTATAGGCTGCTCGCGGCCTATGAAATGGAGTTACATTAATGTTGTGTTTATGTGTCGGACTTGAATCTAATCACAGTTTATTCTGATGTACGAGATAACAAAAAATGATCAGTTACAATACTGTAACATGGTCATTAAAAAGAGAACAAAGTTATAATATGTCTTACACGTATAATTTGATCTCACAACTGTTTACCAAAAGATTTGTTTTTCTTTTTATTCTTTTTTTTCCAAAGTACCACACAATTAATATAGTACTTTCTATGAAATAGAATTTTTATAAGAGATTTTATTATACTGTTGACCGTATATAAATCCCAATTTTTTTTCCATTCTATTTTATATGGAATAGTAATTGGTTTCTTCACAGACATAATTTTGTTACACCATAAACAGACATTTCTCTTTTAAGGAACAATCATAATTCAATCAGATTCAAGGTATCGTCTTATGTCACTGATATATCCGACTTTTAGTTTTATATGCTTATATAATATGTCAACAGAGGAGAGCAACCGATATTATGAATGCACTCTTTACGAATATATTCCTTAACCATGTCGCCAAATTTTCACATATCATGTTTTACAGGAATTTTAAACAGATTCAATGCGTACACATAACTCACCATATACAATGTTCTCAAAATTAATATATAAAGTAAAGGATCTTTGTGTTATTCAAGTTTTCTAAAATTTCGGAAATATATCAAGAAATACGATTAATGTTCATCAAATATTTTGTTTTTTTTTTTATATTTTCCATATATATATTAGTAAACCTTGTGATTGATAAATTTATGAAAGATTACCCCCTTATGATTGTATTTTACATATGATTATATATGTATCAAAGAAGCCATTTGAGCTACTCATTTGCCAAACCGATTAACACCACAAAACAAAAGGTAGAGAAATTTGATAAAGTTACATACAATGTCATATAATTTATTATTCAATAACTATAAAAATGTTTGTTATTCAATAGCGTCAAGCATAAATATTAAGAAAATTAATTATAAATATAGAAAGCTGGGCATCATTCAAATGCTTTGTTACTAAAATTTAAAAATATTTTCGAAGTGGAGTTATTCACTTTGGTTTGTGAACAGTTCATTTATGAATTGTTTGTAAAAAAAATGACTTCTTATCATTAATTGTAGATCTAATTCCATGAAAATAAACTTCTATTTCATTGTTGCACTTTACTTATAAACTATATGTGTACTATTATATATAGATATAATAAAAAAACAGTCGAAAAGTTTTGTTTTAAAGTAAAAGTAACAATTTATTTCTGTTTTTTTTCTCTGTTGTAGATAATACGAAATAATTTATCATATTTTTATGTTTATATTTTGTCTTATTAAATATACAGATAATTCCAAACACTTATTTAACATACTTTATCGAAGTAGATGCTTTTTTTTTAACTAAAAAGTGCAGATCACAAATGATATATCAATTAACCTCAAAAACAAAAAATAAAGAAAAGAAAAATAAGAAAAAGAGAAATCATGGTCGAAATATTCTATTTCAACTTATCGCAGTTTTTAGTAATAATAAGCGTTTATGGATTCATCAATGACAAGGTTTATATAATACCTATACGCATACACCACCAATATTTATTGCAATTGTTGTTGTTTTAGAATCCAAATTACTGTAGAGCTACTTACAAATGTGTCTCATCAGAATACAATGTTGTAAAGTCTATAGAGCTCTGTCGTCTAAAGCAAAAATTTTTGTTTAAAGCATCAACATACAAACTCAAATATAATTCATATATTAATTTACTTTATAGCGCAGGCAATTAATGTTGTTTTTGTTTTTGTGTATATTAAATATTGTACCTAATCATTTAAAATATAAAAAAAAGGCAGCGTTGTAAACTTAAGATATAGTTTCATTCTCATTGAATTTTCTTCATTATTTAGGAGATTGGTTTTTTGTTTCAATATCCGTTACTTCAATTTCTGTACGCATATCAGTAACAAATATATCATATGCGCTCTTTACTATATAATGTATAGGTACATATAATCATATAACATCTAAAGCCAAGCTCCTGTAATATACACAACACTTGAGGCACTTAAATATGTGCTCAAAGACCATATTTTTTTTCTGACATTTCTTATATTATTTGCTTATAAGCATAATTCTAAACGGTATATTATCTCTCGTAACAGTGTCATCAAAAAGGAAAATCAGTGCCGTAATCAGGTATTCCAATATTTTATAACAGTTGTTTCTTTTGATCAATATAGAAACAGAATAATATATTCCAGAATATTGATAACGATTAATTTCAGATTAATCTGTGTCTGATTAAAATTGGAATAAATCACTTAAAGCTTCTCTAGCAAAGACTAGAAGGTATTTGGAACACCATGGAATGTTATATTTTCAAAATCTGTTTTATAATTTATATTTTATAACATAACCATATAGTTTTGTCAAATACATGTGTCTGTAGAGAAAACTTTTTAAAATTTTATTTTATAAATTTCTTCTATCTCCCTTAAAATGTTTTTTAGATTTTCTTTTTATTTAAGATTTTGTACCATTACATATATGAATAACCACAGGAAGTATGAAAACATTGCTCTTTCATTATAATCTTGAAATAGAAATAAACTTCTTAATGGAAAATATAACATGCCAACGCATAGAATCTTCGATCTAATGTGGATGGTTCTCTCAAATGATGTTATCTAAATAACTTACATTATATAATCTAACTCAAAATACTGCAAGTATTAACGACTGCAAATTTAATTTTATTTACATCTAGCAATATCAAAACAAGTGCTCCCATACACATTATATATATTTGCCCATAATGTTACAAATTTGATTTATTGTTAAAACAAAATTATTCATTTCAGCTAAGCATCCAAAAGCACTTCAAAGTGCATCTATGCAAGAGATGCTACGTAATACAATGAAATATTTTTTTGTTATTTCTCTTACTTTATATATATTTTGCCTTTAATAATTTATTTTTATTGATAATTCTTTCAGAAATTCTAGAGTACTTATTCTTTGCGATAATATTTTTTTATTTTCTTTATCTTCTTCCATATATTAAATATTTACATGTTTAATCATAGCTGCAGATAAATAAGCAAATATTATCTAAAAGCAGAGTAACTATACAGACAGATGAATGAAAGTAGATTTTAGTAAAAAGAATACGAACTGAAAGTTGTTGTCCATTATTTTGTGTGGCTGTTTAACTCTTTATATACATAATCAATATTCTGGAAAATATATTTCGCTCAATTATGTACACATACAATTAACTAAGATTAAGAAACCTATATCAAAGGTTCAGTCTGTTGCTTGCATTATACGAAAAACATTACATTTTTTCCAGGATGATATGATTGCTAATTGAGTTAAAGAAACAGAAAGAAAAAAAGAAAAAAAAAGAGAAAAAGTAGAGAAAGAAATAGAGAGAGAGAAGGAAAACAAAATAGGGATAGAGAAAGAAAGAAAGAAAGAAAGAGAGAGAGAGAGAGAGAGAGAGAGAAAAAACAAAGAAAAAAGTCAATATCTATTAAAAAATATGCATAGTAAGTTTTTTGGCACTAAGATAATATTTCCCAGTTACGGCCCTGTATTGTGAAAGTGTGTAGGCAATTCGAAGGAAGAAGGAAGGGGGTGTTGTGGAGGCAAAAGTTAGGAGAGAAAGGAATTAAAAGATTAATACATTAGCTTAATATTTTTACAAGCTAACAAATATGTACCTCCAAAATTACAGAACCAAAACAATAACAATATTCGTCTATGCAGCATGTTGTTCTGCCAATAAACATAACTCTTAAATGTATGGGTAATCGCTGTTTCCCGAAATAATTTGTTTATGATTCATAGTTAATTAATACACATTCATAGTAGGCAAAATCACTGTACAATGTAAAAAGTTTTCTTCATTTCCACCACATCCACTTAACAGGATGAAAGCAGTAGTGCATTCATTCAATGCACTCAACCCAAATTAATGGTAATATAGCTAAATTGAAATTCATTGTAGCAGTATCTGTAAATATACTAATGTTATATTGTTTTTTAATTTTGTTTTCATGCACTAGGTATATACATATACATGGTGTTAAATCTAAAATTTTTTATATCTACAAACAAACGAACAGAAATCCATACGTAAATATTACTCACTTAATAGTTTAGATGTTTCCATCTTTTTCATCTGTTTTATGTTTTGTACAAGGTAAGTCACGACAATGTTGTGCTACTTGAGCATAGCTTGGCTTCGTAACATCCTAAGGTAATAAAAAACAAAAACACATAATAATGAAATTAAATATTTAATTTTTTACTGTTTATATATATAAAATATTTTTTATATAAAAATAATAAAAAATAAAAAAAGAATAGACATTTTCAAAAATCTATTACTATTTATATAGAGAGATTAAATTCAAATGCATACAAAAAAGAAGAAAAAGAAGAGAGAGAGAGAGAGAGAGAGAAAGTGGCTTATAAGATTGGAAATAATAATGAATGCGATTCTATGGATAACAAGAAGAATATTACCACTAAACACACAAAAACAAAAATACTTACTAAGGAAAAGGCAGATGTAACTCCAGTATGTAACTGGGAATTCTGTGAGGCAGTAGGGATGTTACAAGCGCACCTGGTCACTGGATCAGACTCTTCTGCTGCATTTGTGTTTGTAGTTATGGCCTCATCCACACCATTCATCATATTCATTTCATCAGTCTTTATAGATCTGTCAGCGGTGCATTTCAGTAAGAAAGAACAATACCTGAGCATGCATAAGTACAATATATATATATATACATAGATATTAATTACGATAAACAACTAAGAGAGAGAATAGTTGATATATAAATTAGAAAACCATGCACTAAATTATTATTATTATTATTATTATTAACATATTTATAAAAAAAGGGAACAGGTTTGTGCAAAATTGCAACACATTGTTAACGAACCAATATACGTACATTTATTTACCTTTACTGACAATGAAAATCTATAGAGTTATATTCTTTTTTTTCATATTATCGCGTGTGTGTGTGTGTGTGTGTGAGTAAAAAAAATGATATAACATATTATTATATTAAAAACTATGATCGTAATTAAATTGCTTTTTTAAAATTAACTTTTAGCTAAATAATTAAAACAATATAATGATGTTAATAATACTAATATTAAACATTTTCACTAGCACCAGCACTAGTGTGAATAATTAATAATAATAATAATATTACTTTAACATTATCATTATCATCATCATCATCATCATCATCATCATCATCATCATCATCATCATCATCATCATCATCATCATTATCATCATCATCATCATCATCATCATCATCATCATCATCATCATCATCATCATCATCAGCAGCATTATCATCATCATCATCATCATCATCATCATCATCATCATCATTATCATTATCATCATCATCATCATCATCATCATCATCATCATCATCATCATTATTATTATTCTTATTCTTATAATTATCGACATCATCATTATCACCATTGTCAAATAGTAATAATAATATCATTATTAATACCGGCACCAGCGGTAGTGACAGTGACAGTGACAGTGACAGTAACAGTGACAGTGACAGTGGTAATGTTGTTGATGGTAATTGTGGTGGTAATAGTAAATAAGAGAAAATAATTAAATGAACAGGACATATTACTTAACTTTCTGTTGATTCATTAAAGTAAATAAAAGAATTAAAAATACATATATACACATACATGGAAATACTTGAAATGTGTGAATTCATATAAACGAAATCATAAGAATTTGAAAGAGATCAAAAAAAAAAGATTAACAATAAAGTTGCCTTGCCAAATTCTAGTGAATACTTTTTTCATGCAGATTATATGCACATTTCATTTAACGTCTCTTAAGTATTTCACACACTTTTACAAAAGTTATATGCCCATTGTATAATAACTTAATAACAGATGTTTATAATACCATATTTAAGAACAATATCCTTATGACAATACTGTATTGTACCGAGTTTCAGAAAAAAATGTCAATTATGTGCCTTCTATATTTGATGCATGCAATTATTTTATTTAAAAGGAAAAAAGGAGAAAAAAAAGAAAAGAAAATTATGCAGTTCCCATGAAAAATTAATTAAATTTGTGCAAACTCCTTTAAACAAAGTCACTATAAAAATGTATCTTGTAACAAGGAATGGCACGTTGGAATTACCAAATACAGTTTCTATAAAGATTAAACCCACCACAATATATATTTAAAAGAATAGAAATTAATTTAATAATGATTCACCTGAGTCTTAACATGCTCTGTTTAGATATTCTAATATATATATATTTAATGTACTCAATATAATAGTAATATTATAATGTTGCGATCTCTTAAAATTTCAGGAATCTTATAGAGAAAAAAAAATAGCAAATATGTAAATTCCTTCCTCCAAGCATTAAGATAATGCGCGTTATATTATATAATGTTGAAACAATGAAATGTCTTGATTATCAATATAATACAAAGAAAACAAGAATGAAAATAATAACTACATCCATATAACAGAAAACACTAAAGCAACAACAACCAACATACAAACACAATTTTGCACACCTTCATTTTGTATCGCTTTATTCATGCGCGCGCGCGCTCGCCTGTTTCTATATAATGAGGAGAGCGTGTATGTGTGTATGTCACGTGTGAATGCGCATGCGACATATATGTATCGTTGCTATATAGCCACCCACTGATTGCACATTACTTGCGTGCTAAGATCGCGCTTACACACACATGAGTGCACACATACAAAATTCACAAGATGACTCGATCATCAGTGACAACAATTTATAGTTGCACTGTAGTGTGTGTCATTGAATGATATTTTTCTCTTTATTAAGAAAAAAAGATCAAAATAAAGAAGCGTCCGTGTTTTAACGCATAAACACGAATACGTGCGCGTTGATGTATGCATATTATATATATATATATATCAAATATTTTTGTTTATATATTGCATATATATATGTTGTTTATGCATGTATAGAGACATACGTATAGTGCGTAGATATACACACATATATATAAATAAAGGCACACTCACTTATCGGGAGACGACGGAGGAGTAAGGGTGATGGTGCTGAGGGCGATGTCAGTGGAATCAGTGTTGCTAGCAGATTGATTGGAGCTTGAGACTGTAGCTACGGCAGGTGTGTTCGAACCTCCAGAACCAGTGTTAGCCTCTAATAAACCAGTATGTCCACCAGCGCTTGATCCGGGACTTGCAGACCTACTATTATTTGTCAATTGTTGATAATTAGCTGAAGGATCTTTTTCCTTATTATTTTTGAGTTTTGCTGTTCCTTTGACCACGTCCGACAGTCTGTTTTGTGACTGTGAGCTATCATTATTAACTGTTTCTATAGTCGCATTATGGGTTTTCGTAAGATCGGCGTCTAGGCCAGGAAGTGGGGGAAAAGCCGAAGCCTCTAAATCAAACTGTACCCCTCGATTATATTGTGTGTTGTTATTACTGTTGACAGTTGACTCCCTGATCGATGGTAGAGCATTATTGTTTGCCTTGGAAATAGTATCTTGATCTTTGGTCCGGCGATGTATACGATGACGTGGAAATTGGACTCCAGTTTCCAACGTCTGTATATCGTTTTCTTGTGGCCCTTTCGTTGGATTACTGTTATATTGCATTTCCGTATTAGATAGTCCTGCATGGGAGGAATGGAACTTTGTGCCGCTTTGACAGGAAACAGGAGTGGATTTTATTGTAGGTACATTGGATGTAAAGGTAGGAGATGGCGTTGCCAAAGAGACTGGTCCACCACTTATTGGGGGATGTGATGTACGGCCCATAGGTACCATTCCACCTCCACTGTCCATTGGACAACTTCTTTCAGGACCATTTCTTTGTTTATTTCTATATGTTAAACATATAAATATATTGTCTATAAATATCTATACATAAATAGATTAATATATATGTTACGGATCATTTGAGAAATCCGGAATTATGAACACTGCGTAGGCATTATTCACAACGGCAGGCGTTTTTGGGCAATGTAGGAAACAGCAAAATGTTACGGACTTTTCCTAGGCATTGTACATAATACTTTGTGGTATCCTATAGAATATCAAATTATTATGTAAGCAATGTTGAGCAGAATACATTATC